GCAGTAAACAGTTACTTGTATATTCTAATGTCTTTATTCGAACTAAGATTACTATCTTTCGTCCAAAATTATGTTATAAAAAGTCATATAGTTTAACATGTGACACAACAAAATTAGATGAAAAAAAGATAGAAGTACTCAGTAATAAAATATGAAGGAAAATTTTTATACCTAAAAAAATCAACGATGAAAAGTATGTAACGAGAAACAACAAAGAATTAGATTATCTTTATAAATAACCAACCATTACTGCAGTACCGTAGCGAAGGTGGAAATCGAGAGGCGGCCGTTTCTCATTTATTTTAATAGATGGTGGGTGGGTTTTTAAACATTTTGTTTTATAATTATGAATGTAAAAAAATAACACAAAAATATATTTTGATATTTTTATAAGCGGATGCTAATGCTCAATAACTGCTAGCCGGTGAAAACAAGTCAAAAAATATATTATAAACGAGTTACATAGTATACATTCCATACGGTGTTTATTCGTAGATCTGTGTGTTGTTAGTTACTCGATATTATGTTTTAGGTATATTATTTTTATTTTTATGATATTAGTTATTATTTAGTAGGATATCCTATTAGTGGGTAGGAGGTTATCAAAAAATATACTTGCCTCTGAAAATATTTGAGTTCACCACGCCACTGCATTATTGAAATCCTAAAAAATACAAGGATAAATTGGGCAGGGCAAGTATGAAGATCAGAGGAAATGATTGGATTAATAAATAAATGGACAACCAGAATTAAGATATCTAAAGGACGACACAAACAAAGATAGATAGAATACAGAAAGACTTACAACTTCTAAATGTATGGAATGCAGAAAAATGCACGAAAATATAGAGGTGTGGAGATAAAGTGTTGTTGCGGAAATGGGCATCAAAGGTCTGTAAATCTTAAAAGAATTTTCATTTAATCACGCATAACTATAAAAAGAAAATTTAAAAAATATTAATTCAATTTTACAAGAGTTAGTTTTAATTTAAGTATTTTCACTCTTTAAATATTTAATAGAAGACAAACCATCAATGTTAAATGAAACTATATTTCAAAAATATTGAATGGACTTTTAAAGGGAATGCCCAATAAGCTTGTGCGTGAAAGTTTCATATATCATAGTATAAAATTATAGTAATTATCAATAGTTTATGATGTTATAAAACATTATTAATGTTGTTGTTTGTCGAAATTGTTTATTAACATAATTTTGCACTATACTCATAACTAATTATATAATGCATTTTAAAAATTAATTCTCTTTGACATAAATAATTACATAAATTCTTGAATCACTAAGTCAGAAACTTCATATTATAATTAAAATATTCATAGTAATTTATAAGATATTATATAGTTAATATTATTGTAATCAAAAACGTTTCTGAGTTTAGGTAAATCATATTTACAATAACCACGATTTACCGAATTCGAACAAAATTAGTTGATTAAGCAGTATGATTAAACAAACATCATTTAAAAGTTAAGCAATTACATAGCTTTATGTGTGTTTAGAAGAGTAAACTCAATTAAAATAAGATAGCAGGTCACTACTAACATGATAAATGTAGAGCACCATACATGATATATTATGACGATACTGTGAAATAATTATGATAATTAATATATACTTTTTAGTTTGGCGTTTCAAATAAAGTATATATTATTTCTACTGTAGAACTGAGTACTTAGAGTACGTTTAGGAAAAAAAATACAATATATAATTTTTGACAAAACTTGTATGTGTTCCTAATAGACCTATTGGCAGTGGTCGTGTCAAATATGTTAAATATTTAAAGTATATATGTAATTTAAATACATACATAAAATGTTTAATCCTTTTTTTTTTTAATTGTGCGTTATTATATATTTTTTATATTTTAATAAGCCCTTGGCTTCGTTTGATGTCAGTTTTTTAGCTTAACGTTTATGACTGATAAAAAATGTTACGAATAAAATATTTATAAATACCCTTATAAGCATTTATCTTCCATATCTTACAATGATAAAAAACAATAAAATAACGCATTTATAATTTGTTTGAATAAATTCTATTTTTTTTAAACATTTCAACTTGTTTATGACTCAGTAGCATATTTATGCTATACAGTTTGTTGTATAGTTGATTATTCTTATGGGAACTATACAACAATTATTTTATATTTTAAATATTATGATTTGTGTCTTTGTAATTTTCTTTCATTCCGAACGTCTAAATATTTTCATATTAGGCTGAGTACCCATTAAAGTAATGTGGCGTGTCGCGTGGCAAGTGATGTAGCAAAATTACATACGGTGTGACACAACCCCTATTTATGTATGTAGTAACTAGTAGCACCAGTAGTAAATATATCTTCTATTTTAATGGATCGACGAAAGTGTTATAACATTAGTGAATTTAATCGATTTTAAAAACGCAAATAAAAAAAAAATAAAAAAAAAACGGCATCTGAGCTTATTCATACTGGAAAAAGAATCAAAAAATTAAACGTAGTGTTTTTGATGTATTCAAAGAATTGAATGCCTACCCAGAGCGATTTCCATAATTGTACAGAATAAAATAATTGATAAAAATATTATTTATGTATAAAATATCTACCAAGTGGAATTAAAATTAATATAATATACATTATAATTCATAAAATCTTTTACTTAGTATAGTTGATTACATTTTTGTTTCTGTAATCCAAAATTATATGATTATAGATATTCTTCAATCATACTAAAAACTGTATATTAAATTTTGGATCGTCTTCCATTTTTAAGTCATACTTTTCAAATAAATAAATAAAAATACAATAGTTTACCAAGTGCTAGACACAAGAACAAGCACGTTATAAGCGCTATAAAATGGAACACGTGCATTTAAATGACACTGACGTAATAATATGCCATTTGTCAAATCACTGATATATCGTTTTAGCTGACGTTAAATCTATTCGTTATATTGTTTATATACAAAGTAGCATGTTAGCATACATCTACATTAGCTACATCTCTTACAATATAACGTTACTCTATTGGACGCTCGGCCTTTATGATATCTACATATAATAAATAATTGACATTGAAATATGCTGTAATCAATGATGTTTATATTTGGTAAATTTTACAGTATCATTGTTCAATTATATCACAGTTTAAATTTAGCGTAATCAATGATTTGGTATATATAATAAATTGCTTGTTATTGTTTTTTTTATAAATATTTATATTTTAAATTCCCATTGGGTAATTTGGAAACTGAGTTAATTTTACAGTTGAGTTTTTTTATTTTTTAAACGCTTCCTGGTCGTAAAATTTCACCAAAAGTGTATTATGTAACATTTTATTCGGTCATAAATTAAACATTGAAGGTACATGGAGACGGCATATTTGATATTTTTAATACATTTTCTTAAATCTTTAAACATTTTTGAAGTTGCAGATATATGTGATTTTAAAGGTATATTTTTTTCGATGCGCTGAAGTTCAAATACTATACGGCTTTGATAAAAATTACATATACATATATTCAAATATAATAATAGATAATCAATGAAAAATAAAACAAATTTGATTTATGCACACTGAAACTCTCATAGTAAAAATAAAAATAACCATAGTAGGGTTAGTCCAAAAGAAAATAGATCAATTCACATAAGTACATAAAGAATGGTATATTTGATTATACCTAATACTTAAAAAAGGTTTAATTTAGGTAAGTTAAGAATTGTTCAAAATTACATATATTTTTATTTTCTCGGTTAATAAAAAAAAAAAAAAACTAGAGTTAAAATAAAATGTATAAAATGTGTTTATAAACTTTAGGAGGAGATATAAATGTTATTAAATAAAATTAAGTATTTGCGTATTAATTTATTTCTGTTAACTAATTAAATAAAATACAATTTAATTTAACGTTTTAATATTGAATTTTCATTTACCAAAATAATAGTCCTTATAATTTACTTGTTTTTTTTAATGAACTGAAGATGCTATTGTTTTTTAATGAACTTTTATAATACATATAATTATATATATAAATTTAATTACAAATATTATATTTTTGTACTAGTGTTATTACTGGTATTAATTTATATAAGAATCAGACTTAGTTTTTTTTTTTTTTATATATACGTTTGCTATCAAAACGAAATTGATTCACATGATTTTGTAAATAAAACTCGTATTTCAAAAATAAACTTGATATAGAATTAGCTTTAATAACATTATTTATTGTAGTCAAATTCTATGTAAATGTATTCAATTAATCTAGGTACGTATATCTTTAAATTCTATACATTTCGAAGAAATACGTTTAAGAATCTTAAAATTAGGCAATCAATAGTTGTTTATTGAATAGTTATTTTTCGTAAAAGAGCAACATTTTAAAATTAGTATACTACATTCTATATCTTGAATTTCCGATGAATGAAAAAACATCAAAGTCAGTAAATTCGGAATCGTATTCGTTGCAACTCTACGAAAAAAAAAATGAGAAAATGTTCATTAGTATCGTCAAAAAATTATTTCATCTAAAATAATTTGTATACTTCTCACAGTCTGCAATCAAAAATTGAAAAAAAAAGAGACGTCGAAATATTAGATTTGAGGAGCATTTGGAATAATGTATATAGTCAAAATTTAGTCATAATTTGTACTTAAAATATCAAATACTCAAGGTTACCTTTTTTTTTTTTTCTAAAAAATAATTATATTATAAATGGCTAATTGAATACATTTACACTTGTCATTCTTTGATTACGTATCTTTTTTGTATAAAACCCATTAAAAAAACTTCAACATTTACAATGTGTTGAAGTGCATGTTTTTCAATAAAATTGTTTAAAATATATTAATGAATCATGATATCGATTTCAAGTAGCATTTGTGGTACTCAACAAACAAGAGAAACCACATTTATTATCATATAATGGAACGTATACATACCCGTTGAAAACTAATGATGATTATTTCATAACGTCTAAATCATATTATCTTTAACGTTTACTTACCCACGACAGTTAAGACCATTGCATGTCCAATTGGAGGTGTTGTGCCAACTTGACATTCGTAAAATCCACTGTCTCTAATTTGAGGGTATCGTATTTGTAATGTCCAATCTTCTGTCTGTGGTGAATGTATTGCTTGAAACCTTTGATCACTGGTGTAAGTGTACCGACCTACAGTTAATAAGTGTATGCCACGATGTCGTACCCATGAAACCTGTAAAAGATCATAGTTAATAAAATAATCATACATTTGGTGTTGAATAATTTAGTGATTTTTTTTTTTTATTATTTATAATCTTTATCTATATGTAATATAGTAAGTAAATTTGATTATTTTTTTTAATTACGACAAGGTTAAGTTACTCATTGGTGACACCCCTATAGTTATAACTTATAACTGCAGAGACGGAAAAAAAACGATTGGGTCAGTTCGTATTTAAAAAAAACGTCATACATATAATAATAAATATTATACAATTTATTATAATAGGAAGGTTTTTGATATTATATAAAATAATAATGGAATTAGTATAAGTTTAAATTTTGATTTAATACTTAAAATATTAGCATACTAAAAAAAATTGTTATTGCAGTTATATTATTATACTTAAATTGTTAAATAAACAAATAATTTATTAATCAATTCAATTGATGCATTGATAGATAAATTTTATTTATATGGAAGTTTTACAACTTATAATAGTTCTTATTTAGTTTGTAAAATATTACTGATTAAACTGGTGATAGTCCTAGATAGAGTAAATTATAAAGTCGGGGACAGGTAAATTATACTTCTGGATCAATCTTTTAAGCTTGAGACTAAAGTACCAATCACTCCCAAAATAATGTTTCTGTATTAAAAAGGTCGAGTAAATCAGTTTATATGTCTAAAGATGGTTTATACTGTAGTAAAACCAAAATGTTTAATAAGGTAGGTTAAACCTTAAATGTTCTAACTTTTACAAAAACATAAAAATATCTAAATAAATAAGTAAATAATAAAGTATTATATGAGTATTCAGTAATAAAACTTAAAGTTGCATTCAATTTTAGCCACAAAAATTTAGTGATTTTTTGTGATTTATGTGTCGTTTTGTCAACATTTTATATTCAAATTCTCATAATTTTTTTTTTTTTTTTTATATATTTATATATGAACTTCAATTTTTCAAAAATATACTTTTAATAAGAACTGTTTAAAATATTATTAAATTACATTACCATAACTACTTGATATTTTAAGAAAAAAAACAATTTTATTACTGATTTCTGCGAGTTAAAAATTTTTTAGTTGAAATAATAATAAATATAAACAATTGTAGAAGTTTTTAGTTTATTATATATGTACACTGTAATCGTTTCAGAATACAATTTTTAATTAGGTTATAATAATACTTGGTTGATTAAATAATTAATCTAAATTCTAGATTTTAAACGAAACGCAACAGCATTTTTATTTATTTAAAATTAAAATATGATTTTCATCACTAAATTTTTTTTTTTAAATTTTCTTCCATTTATATTCATAAAGTTTTAAATTAGTCTATAAAGAGTTTCATATTTAAACAAAAATCTTTAGACTTTCTTCTTTCTACCTCATAAAAAAGTATGACCTAGTTATTAAAAATTACGGATAAATATTGATCCTATGAAGTTCAGAATCTGTCAGACAGTTATTAATTAGTATAATTCTATAGATTGAGTAAATAACTGGGAACCGTATAATAAATGAACCGATTTCATAGCATAAGTATCATGCAGCGATAATGCCTGTTAACATAATTGATAAATTATTTGATTTCTACAGTGGTGACTATTATTTACGATTTGAAAAGACTGGAAAAAAATAATTGTGTTATCAATTCAATAGAATTTAAACACCTAAGCCTAAACAATTGTTCATCATGATTTGGAAAGAGAAAGAATAAAAATGAGATTTGAGATAACCGATTAATTCGTTAGTGTCCTTAATATATTAAGGAATTTACAAAATAATACATGTGTATTAGTTTTATATAACATTTAAAGTCCATGGCAGAGAATTTTTGTCGCTTGACAAAATATAGTTTTTACAAAAATTCGATGTGGTTCTCGCAGGATTTTTTGAGAAGCTGTTCTTGGAAAATCACTAGTTGTGCCATTTACACAAATGTAGATGTTCTTATAATATTTTTCGTTCTATAAGCGTCCATAGAAACTAAAATTCTCTCATATTTCACATGAATAACGTTTTACTCTGGTGGGAATTCAGATATTATGTTTCGAGCAGGAGATTTTCGAAGAAATCGGTTATCCACTCGAATAACGTTTTACAAAATTTAATTTTTTAACATAAAATCTTTACTGTAAAAATTATTCTGTAATATTATACATGTAAAAATATTTTAATATTTTGCTCGATAGAGAAAGATTTATACATTAAAGTTCATTAAAATAATTAAACACGAATATATATATATATATATATAGTGGGTATATCAATGTGTATAAGTTAAATAAATTAAAATTAAAGGTTGAATATACAGTTTGATTTTCATTTTTATATTCAACAACAAAGTAGCAAAAAACTTGATTTAAAATACTATTAATGTTTAATTTTTTTTTTTTTCTAAGAAGCGAATTTTTTATAAACATTTATTTTGATACTTCGAAATTTATCGTACTCCATTATTTATTTAAACATAATTTTTAGTAATTCAATATCAGTTTTTTTGTTGGGTATATTCCAGAAAATAATATTTTCATTAATTTAGAAAAGATATTGTTACTTTAGATAACATTGGGTTACAGATTATTATAATTTAGATATTGTTCTCATGAGAATTTATAAGAAGTATTTTGATTTTACGCATAAGTAGGGTCTATAAATCCTAATTATGAATTTGTTTGTGCTTAGGTTTTTGAAGTTTTGATATCAAAATTTATGTCAAGAATATTAATTTTGTGTAAGTAATAAAGTTTCATAACTATTTATTTTATAACAAAGCCAACCATCAAGGATCTAGCTTTACCTGGAAATCCGATCAGACATCTTAAGCGGAACTGGTGCCGAAACTTAATAAATCTATAAACTCTAAAAATTGTAATAAGCGTACGGTAAATACTAAGACTAAATTTAAAGCCATATATACATAATATAAAGCCAATAGACACATCGGTGTCTCTAATGTGAGACTTCCTATAATGTCACTATCATTCCTAGTTCTCTTACCCATCCTAAATATTGCTTATTGTACACAAACGTATAGATTGTAATAATTTCATAATTAAGTTACATATTTAAAAAAAAAAAAAAATCATTTATTTACATCACCAAAACAATTAAATATATAATACTTTTTTAGTCTAAAAATGGTAGAAATCGTTTAAATCTATTTCCTTAACATTTTTTTTTTTTTTTTTTAATTTTTGACCAAATTAAAATTAAATTATTCTGCTTAATTGTTACTAACACATATACTCAATATAATATTTTTTTCAAAAGAGATAATACTTTTAAGGAGATATATTCATGTAATTTATGAGACTTTATTTTTAATGATATTTCTATAATTGAAAAGTAATGAAGTTATACTTCTAAACCTTTACTTCTAATTCATTTTGTTATATTATTAGTTCAGAACATTTTGTAGAGTATTAAATAGAAACAAAGATATTTGAGTACCATTTGATTATTTATTTATATCCCTTTTTGGGATGAGTTAAATCCACAGTGCATAAATTAAATTTATGGGAGACTTAATTTTTGTGTATAATTATTGAGTGAATTTGTGAATTTATCGTCATTAAGTAATTCATTTAAAGTACTAAGAAAATTAATAGTTCCTTTTACAATATTATGTTAAAATTGGGTATTTATAGAAGGATAATGTTTATTACAACTAATGATCCAAGTAAATTTATCATACCAAATATAATATTGAAAATGTATTATTTATTGAAGAGTGGAGCTTATTGAATGCTGATTAATATTTTGAAATAAAAAAGGCAAATTCATATTATTATGTTTAAATTCAAAATTACAATATGGCGTAGGTACATCACTTTAAATTATTAATAATTATTATTAAAATATACAAAATATAACAATAATTATAATTTTTGTTCGTTTTCGTCACCTGAACTATTTTTACCAAACCGTGGATAATAGGTTCAACTGCAGTTATTAGTTGTATTACTTCTGTTAAAAATGATGAAATTTTTTTGTGGTGTAATTTTCTAAGACTAGAAATAAGCAGATCAGATGACATTAATAGTCCATGTAACAGATCCTCATTCGTTTTAATCCTAGAACATTTTTTAGTATAAATTTCTCGAATATTTTTAAGGACTTTATTGCAAGCATGTTGTGTTTTTTTCGGACATTTGTCAATAGAATGTAAAGCAACAAAAATAACAGATTATCAATGTAATAATATCTTATGCTAGCATATAGTACTAAGGATATAATTTTACTAACAATTTAGCAGTTTTAATTGAGTGTTTACTGAATATTATCATTTATTTCATAACCAGATGACATAGCTTTAAGAATTGCTTCTTTAGAAGGATACCACCGTGTTTTTGGTTCTTTTATTATATTTAAGGTGGGTACATATTATAATCATTTTCTTTGGCATTTGACCTAATAAGTTGACACTAATGTTTATTTAATTTAGCATTTACTACTAAAGACAATACTTTATCTTCGATCATACGTGTGACATTTATTTTTTTATTTTCCCAACACTGTTATTTTAGATGCCTCAGTATAAATTGTATTAGTAGATTTTTTTAAAAGTTTTGCAACGTCTTCTTCTCGAGTAGCATATGTTAATTCGATTTATAAATTTGTGTTCGTATAACTTCAATTTTTCTACGCTTTAATCTTTCACTACACAATTCAAAATATAATTCTGGGCGACCACCCCCTTTAGACGTAGATGGTAATTCATCGTTATCAGTAGTGGTATTTTCTGATACTTTGTAAATTGGTGTATTTAACTATACAGTATTGATTTTATTAAAAACTGCCTTGGCCTTATAACTTTTTTTTTCATCGTTCAAATATTTCGCTGCCAATACGATATAATATATCTTATTGGCAGCGAAATATTTAGCACAATATTATGGCTTATTTAAAAGAATCCAAGTTATCGTCTGAATAATGTTCAAATCCAAATATTTTATTTAAGTTATTAAACGAGTTGTAGTTGAAAATAATTTTTCAAAAAT